ATACAAGAGCACTCATAATGTGATCTTTAACATACTTTTTTATTTACTGATCTACCATGGAAATTCTCATACAGATATTGCCTCGTTTTATGTATTTCATTTTATATAGAGATATTTATATTCACTTCTGAGTGTTAGAGTTAACTTGCTTTGCACAGGAAATGCAAGAGTATTAGATCATTAGTAAAATAAATCATATAATTTCATTGAGAAGTAATTATTTTTCCATACAATCTATGAGAAAATTAACTTGGTTTTGTTTACCCTCCCCACAAAAGGACTTATCTGGGACAGTGGCCATGAACAGAAGTACAATTAGTTTGTCATCAAGTGCTAATTTAGGAAAACGCTAAAGATAATGAAACTGGAATTAAATTAACCGAGTGAACATAATTTCTCTGATATGCAGTGAAAAGTTCCAAGTAAAAAAAAGAAATTCATACCCCTCTTTTTTCTTCTCACTGCATCTTTCTTGTTTCCTACAAGATACAGGTGACTTCACTTACTCTTTTGTTCCTTTTCTGTTTAATGAGACAAAGCTCAACGTGCTCCCGTTACAGTAGCCATGAGCCTGACTGAGGCAGCCTTTCCACCTTCCATCTCAACCCTTGCAATTTGGACCACCATGAATGGCTGGACGGCAGAGGTTATTAAACTAAAATCAGTAAATCAATGGATAACAAGAGCAATCATTTATTGAATACTTACATGACAGGCAATAAAATATTTTGAGTGGATTATTTCATGGAGTTATTATAGTAACCCTTTGAGATAGGCACTGTTACCATTTTACAGATGAGGAAGCTTAAGATCTCACAGATAAAGGATAAGAGTTGGGACAAAACCCAAGTTTTGATTATAAGGTCTATGCTTTGGAGATCTAGAGTAAAAGGAAACACGTCTCTACAATCCCTTCAGATAAAATTCACCTATGTTGCATTGGGTCTATGGGCTATGCAGATCTCCTAATAATACATCGACAAATCGTTCTCACCACATTTTGTTTGGGTTCCAGGAATGTACTTCAAGTGGTACCCTATAAAATAATATTGCAGCAGTTTCACCATTTTCTGTGCCACATCAGACTCACATCCTTTAACTAGATTAAATAGGTGTTCTCAGAGCAACCCATACATAATCAGCCATTTAATTGACATGCCTACATTGAATACATTCAGCAAAGTACATCAACTTCATTTCATTTATTCATATTCATCCAGTAACTATCTATTGGGTCCTTCTTTCCTGCTTCAACCTTTATCTCCTTACAATCCATTTTCTTCACAATTTCCAAATGAATTTTTTTAAAAATCAAGATCAGATTATGCCATGCCCTGAAAACTTTCCAATGCTTTTCTTACTTAGTATGAAATCCAAGCTCCACCAGGCCTGAGTTGGTCTGGCCTTGAGGATATCTCTGGTGCCGTTTCATTTCACTCCTCCTCTGTGCCACTATGCTCTTGATTCTCTCTTCTCTCTTTTTCAGACACATTAAGCACACTCTTGCTCAACGGGTTTTCTGCCCTCCCTGATTTCCAGCCAGAATTCTCTTCACCATGAGTAAAAGGGTTGGCTTCTTTCCATTCTGACTCTGACTCCAACAGCACCTTCTCCTTTTCTGACTGGTTCTCAAAGGACATGAACAGAAACTTTTCAAAAGAAGACAAACTAAAGGCCAACATACATATGAAAAAATGTTCAACATCTCTAATCATTAGGGAAACACAAATCAAAACCACAATAAGATATTACTTTACTCCGGTGAGAATGGCCTCTATCAAAAAGTCTCAAAACAATAAATTGGCATGGATGCTGAGAGATAGGAACACTCATATACAATGCTGGTGGGACTGCAAACTAGTTCAACCTCTGTGGAAAGTAATATGGAGATACCTCAAAGAGCTACAAGTAGAACTACCATTTGACCCAGCAATCCCATTACTGGACATTTACCCAAATGAAAAAAAGACATTCTATAAAGAAGACATCTGCATTCTTAATGTTTATAGTAGCACAATTCACAACTGCAAAAATGTGGAAACAACCCAAGTAACCATCAATACATGAGTGGATTAGTAAAATGTAGCATATGTATACCATAGAACTCTACTCAGCCACAAAAAACAACGGTGATCTAGCACCTCTTGTATTATCCTGGATAGAGCTGGAGCCCATTCTACTAAGTGAAGTATCACAAGAATGGAAAAACA